GTTTTATGGAAGAGTTTAACCAAACTTCAATAAAAAAGAAATTGTGAAAGAAAATAGAAAAAATGCCAGATTAATTCTATGAGGCTAGGGTAACTTGCCTAGCCTCAAAGACAGTACAAGGAAAGAAAGTTACATATTAGTTTTACATACAAAAAATTTGCTAAAATCCTAAATAAATCATTAGCTAATAAAAGCTAACCATACATTATAAAAATATGTTTATTCCAGAAATGCTAAGATGGTTCAACAGCAGAAAATCTATTACTATGATTTATCATTTAATGGATTGAAGGAAAAAATTGATTAACTTTTAGATGCAGAGAAATATTTGTTAAAGGTCAATACTGTTTTATGATTAAGAAAAAATTTATTAAACCAGGAACATAAAGAACAGCCTTAATGTGATAAAAACTATATTCCAAAAACCTACAGAAAATATTACACTTAGTGGAGAAATCTAGATACATTCCTATTCCAGTAGAAGGCCCTGGCTCAATGCAAGATTAAAACGCACAGGAAGTAGAAGGCTTGGGGGAAAAAAGATAAAACTGCCACTACTCACAGATGATATAATTTTTTAGGTAGAAAATCCAACAGAGTAAATAGGACAAACTATTAGAACTATAGAAGGCCAGCAAGACTTTTGGATATCAGATCAATTTTCAAAAATAAGTAGATTTCCTCTCATCTGTGTCAGCAATATCGATTAGAAAATATAATACAAAATTAGGTAGCATTTACTATGGCAAAAAACTCATTAAATTCTCTAGGAAGTAATTAAAAATTAAATTATGCTCAAGATATTTGTAAGGCGTTAAAACTATTATGGAATATAAAGTAAAATCTGAATAAAATAAAAGATATTCTAAGTTTATGATTGGGTGGCCTAACACTGCAGAAATATAAATTCTCTGTAAATTAACAAATATATTCAATGTAATCCCACTCAAATTTCCAGATGAGTTTTTTAAAAAGGAACTCAACACACTCTAGAATTCATTTGGAAAAGTAAAGATCTATCAGATAAAACTGCATTCTACAAAGATGTAGTATTTAAAGTATTATGTTATTGATGTAGAAACAGATACACAGATACAGCATAGAGAGCTCAGAAGTGAATCCTTGTGTTTGGGAATTTGATCATTCCATAGATGGATTGGAAAAACTGATTCATTATATGGAAAAAAGTGAAGCTGATTCTCTACTTACAAACATAGACAAATATAAAGATGGCCTCCAGGTAGATTAAAATCCTAAATGTGAAAGGTGACATTATAAAGCTATTAGAAAAA